AGCAGCTCCAGGGAGATCAGTGCTGCCAATTCCTCCCTGACCTTGCACCCCTGGCAATGTCAGGGGAGCAAAGGCTCTAAACTCCTGTGGGATGGAGGCACTAAAGGCAGTGCTAACGCTGCTGGATCTGCTCCCAGCATCCCAGGGACTGGACAATCCCTCTGGGAGCATCGAGTCCAGCATGTGACCACCATGTCCCCAGCCCAGAGCACTGAGTGCCACATCCAGGCATTCCTTGGACACCTCCAGGGATGGGGACTCCAGACCTCCTTGGGCAGCCCCTTCCAATGCCTGACCACCCTTTCCATGAAGAAATTCCTCCTGAATTCCCAGGCTGCTTCTCTGGGAAGGAGTTATGTAACAGTGAACAGAACGATGCTGTTCCCACTGTTTACCCACACAGGATTCCCCTTTTCCAGTTGCTTTGTTGCCCAGTTTGGATTCTAATCCCAGCTCTACTATGGACAAGTTGCTTATTCCCAGCCCAGCTCCCTCTGGAAGCAGAGGTGCCAGCCCCAGGCCCTGTGCAGGGTCACACCTGATGTCCCCCTGGGAGGGCTCGGAGGGACGGAGCAGCTTCTCCGGAGCATCCCCAGGCGTGTGCCAGAAACCAGAGCCAGACCTGGAAGAGAAGGGGGTTGGTCCCAGCAGGAGGAGAACACCAAGAAGTAAAAATATCCACCACAAGGTTTTCCTGGCTCCAGTGGAACGTCTTTCCCTCCCTCCTGCTTAGCCATGGGAATTTCCTGAAGGGCTGAGCCCCAGATCCAACCCACTTGTCCTTGTGTGAGGAAAGCAGCTGGAAGAGCCCAGGCCTTTTGAGCTGCTGGGTCAGGCCCAGCTGCCTCCGCAAGGGCTGCTCCCTGGGCTCATCCACAGGACAGTCCCGGGTCAGGAGAAACACCCCCCCTCAAATCTAAAATGAAGGAGAAAAAAAGAATTTTCCACTTACTCTGATGGGTAAAACCCATTCTTAGCTTCTGTGTGCTCAGGAAAACTGGAAAAGAGAGACACAACTTGAGGAATGTTCCACAGTGACTTTCCCATGCATTTCACAGAGGAGAGAGCAGTTCTGCAAAGCCCACATGGAATCTGTTTCTCCATCAGTAAATATCCAAGATTCCAGCCAGCCCCAGAACAGCAGTTTATGGATTGTGCAGTGCCCAAGTCAGGGATCCCACAGTGACTCTACCTTCCATTCATGGAAACCCTGGTGGCTCTGGGGGCCCCTTCATCCCATGGGAACCTCTCAGGCTTTTCCTTCACAGCTTTGTCACTAGAAAAAAAAAAAAGGAAAATTCTAGTGAAAGTGAGACTTGTCAGCATTTGTAATGTATCATCCTAGAGAACTCTGCTGCTATTTGGTTGGGGAACAAAATGGGGTTAAATCTTTCCATCAGGATGGGCAGGGCAGCATTCCTGAGCCCAGTGGGTGTGACTGCACATCATGGAACCGTGGCCCAAGACCAGCAGGAGCCACCAGCCAGCAAGGACCAGCACAGCCCCTGGAGCTGGGACAGCTCCAGGGAATGGCAGTGGGAGGCAAAGGGAGCAGCAAAATCAAGGGAAATGCAGGGAGTGGAGTGTTCAGGGAGTGGAGTGTTCAGGGAGCAGAATCCCAGAGCAGTGAGGGAAGGGAGGAGATCTCTGCCAGGCTGCAGCTTTGCCAGCAGATGCTGCTCTTGGAGTGACACCAGGAGCAGGGAGCTGCTGCTCCCGAGCAAATCCAGGGTCAGCAGCACAGAGCAGCCCCTGCCCGTTCCTTACCCATCTCCATGCTGGGACCCCGTTTCCAAGGGGAATTTCCCATGCAGGGCCTGTCTGTCCTCACCATTCCTGCAGGGAAAACAGCAGGAGTGTGAGGGAGGGGGATGAGGAGCCACAGGAGCTGCACAGGAAGAGCTGCAGGTCTGGATTCTGATTCCCAGCACAGGGCTGGGCGATGTTCAACCTTTGGCAGGCCCTCAGCTTCCATCTGGGAATGTTTCCTCCCAGGTGTTTTTGCCCCTTCCCTGGAATTCCCTGTGTGGTGTTTGCTGTTCTGTGTCCTGGAGGATTTTGTGTCTCCAGGGAATCCCCCCAGGCAGAGCTGAATTCCCCATCCTGCCCTCAGGGGATCCTGAGGCTGCTGCAGGGCCTCCAGACTCACCTGCTCTCAGCAGAAATGGAAATATTCCCCAAAGTGTCACTCAGGGATGGGGATGTTTGGCTCCTGCTGCCTGGCTCGGGGCTGCAAAGAAGACAAGGGACAAAATTGTCATTCCTGGTCAAACCAGCTCCAGCTGCAGCAAATCTACCCTGCACTGGAGTGTTCCTTATGGGAATGAACAAAATGGGAATGAATCATCATTCTTCTCAATCCATTCACTGGCAAAGTCATCTTCTCAGAAGCAATTTTAAATTAAAAACACAGATTTTGCCACTTTCTACAGTGGCACACCAGTAAAACCACCAGCACAAGGGCAGCAGCCTATGTGCAGTGAGAACTATTCCACCTTTTGTATACACCAGGCATGGATTCAGTCCAAAACCTTGGAAAACAACTCAAAATGATTCCCTTATACCTGTTTGGAAAGAAAGGGGCTTGGAGCAACCTGGGACAGTAGAAGATGTCCCTGCCCATAGGGTGGGACTGGGTGGGTTTTAAAATCCTTCCAACCCAAAGCAGTCCAGGATTCTACATTTGGGTTTTTTCCTTTTGGGTTTTGAGCCCTTCAATCAGGATATTGCCAGATCCTGCCACGGATTTCAACCATAAAACCTTTATTAAGAGCTCTCTGCATCCAGGAAGGGTTTCCCTTGAAAGATGGATTTGGTTCCTCCCCTTTCCCAGAGTGGTGCCCACAGAGGTCTCTGACCTTCAGCCCAAACTGTCCCACCCATCCTGGCTGTGCTGGAACTCTCACCTGGAGGAAGAGGCTGCTGCTGCCTTTGGCTCATCCCAGGAAGACACAGGGCTGGTTTTTCTTAGCCCATTAGCACTGACAAAAAAAAAAAAAAAAAAATTAACAAATCAACAAAACATTAACTCAGGTGTTTTTTAGGCGCTTCTCCCATGGGAGCACAAATGCTGCTTTGTGCCCACAGCTCCTGTGCTGCTTCCTGAGCAGTGTCCCTGTGCTCTGTGGCACTGCTGTCACTCACATCTGCCTTTCTGCTCGGGTTTAGAAACTGATTTTTTCCCATTTATCCCAGCTGGAGCTGTTTCTATCCCCATTGTTTCCTGGGAGGTCTCCTCTGCAAACTCTCCACGTTTGGTTGTGTTTGATAAATGCAGTTATCCCCAGAGCTGGCAAAGCCCTGGAATCAGACATCCCACCCTGAGGAATGAGTACCTGCTGCTCTCCGGAGCAAACCTGGCTGAACCCGGCACGGTCGGACTCCTCCTCTGCTGTCCTTCCTCCTCTTCTATCTCAATTCTTCCCACAGGGAGAAAGAGACAAATGGCACATCATTTCCTCTTTTCTGCAGCTTTCCAGACAGTTTATCCCTGTTTTCCCCCAGCCATGTTTTCCCTGTTTCTTGACCAGGTTATTGCTGCTGCTCCTGCTGAGCATCCCAAGGGGCAGAATGCAGCCAGGCCAGTGGGATTTTTCCACACACCTGAGTTTTTAGACTCCAGAGTGTGTGAATAGGAAAAACAGAAATTTCCACAGATATTGAAGGGTTTGATCTGCAGCCTTGGGAGAAGCTTGGATTGATGTAAAAATACAATATACAGATATTAAGCAGAAAAATAACAAACTTCTGTTCCTATAGTTGTATGTAAGAATATATCTGAAGTAAGTAAGAAACTGTATTGGGTGTGATGGTAAAGGGTTTATAGTGTAGTAATATAATTCTATAGACTAAGCTGAGAGTTTAGATGTTGTAATAGAAGCATCTGTGTGCATGGGAGACAGAAGCCCATTAGGCAAAAGTATAAGCAAAATTAAATAAAAGTGATAAGTTAGAAAGGCAAACTAAACCTTGAAACTTGTGTTCATTAAATCAGAAAGTTCTACATTGTCTTGTAACAAAGAACTTGTGACTACTCTTGAGCTATGGCCGACTACTTACTACTTTAAAATCTCACAGCCTCTGAGACTGATGTTTATCTGAGCAATAAATTGTTCTTAGCTCAAAAATAGTCCCATCCCTTCATTACTGACAGTGACAACAGTACCAGAGGGAGCCTTGGGCACGTTTCCCTGTCCCACTGACAGCTCTAGGAGGGAATGCCTGAGGAGCATTCTCCTGGCTGGCTGGAGCAGCTTCCCAGGAAACAGGGAGGCTGTGGCTGAGTCTCCCCAGGTTCAGGCTGTCCATAACCCAAAGCACCATCAGGATTGCATTCCCAGTTTTTCCAACACTCTTTCTCCCCCAAAAAAACCCCAAAAAACCCAGTAGGATCCAACCCCCAGCATCCTTTTTCAAGGAATTGTTCTTCCTCTGCTGTGAAACTCCCAGGATCTGCTATCCCAGCCTGGTACTTGCACCCAGCCCAGCAGTGCTCCCCAAGGTCCAGCACCTACCTCTTGGCAAACAGGGGTGGGAATTCCTGTGTTGGGCTGCTGTGAAGGAAGGATTAAGGAGCAGTTAAAGGATGGGAGGGAAAGACACTCCCTGGGCAGGGGCAGAGCCCCCCAGGACCCGGCCCCAGGTGTGCAAGGTCCGGTCACCCCTCTGGGCAGAGCTGGCTCCAAGCAGGGGTGTCAGACCAATGAAATAATGCAACAAAACTGCAGAGAGCAGCTGAAGGACTGAGGCTGAAAATGGGACTCTTGGTTGCCTTAGGGAATTAGGGACTCCTATGGATTTTCTTTTCTGGAAGTTTCATTCCTCTCAATAAGGAATACTTGGGGGATTTCCCAGTTCTGCAGAAACCTGCAGATACCATGGAATCATGGAAAGGTTTGGGTTGGAAGGACCTTCAAGACTTTCCAGCCCCACCCCTGCCATGGCAGGGACACCTCCCA